ACAAAAAAACCTGGGGAAATGTCTACAGAAATAGGGTGACCAGATGCCTAAATAGGGGAATCTCAAGCAGGAGTAGAGAGGTTATTTTATCTCTGTATCCTTGCCCTGTGGCTTGTGGTGCGGGCTGCAGCAGGGGCCGTACAACCCCTCTCACAGCTTCCTAGGGCCCCCTCTCATGGCTCTGTGCACCTGTGTTTGTCATTGTCGTCCCCTCCCCTCCCGCTGCCCCGCTCGCCCAATGTGTCCTGATATTTCACTCTTGCGATCTGGTCACCCTACGCTCACCTGCCACCTGTCCGCACCCTGCAGTCATCCAGAGGGACCCAAGAAAGATCTGGCTGGAATTTTCTTAGAGGCTTGTATTTCCCGGGAAACTGTACAGACACACGTCATGACCTTTAATCCAACTCCATTGGCTGGAGCTAGGGGCCTGGTTAAAGGACCGGCTACGTCCGAGTTGGGAGAAAGAAAAGAAGAGGGACAATTGAAATAGGTTTCAGAGTGGTAAGCATTGGAAAGCTTATGCCCAAATACATTTGTTAGCCTTTAAGTTGCCACCAGTACTCCTCATTCTTTTAAATTGCAATAGGCTGGATTGTAAAACAAACCCAGACGGATCCCCCCACACGCAGGCTGGAAGAGAACCTGGTTTTGGAGACCAGGAGGTTGTTCAGAGGGACACTGGACTAGGTTGAAATAGAGACGGATCATTAGAGCCCTGAGCGGATTCAAAAATTTGGATCCGCATCCGTGATAATTAACTTGTATCCGACCCGCACTCCACCTTTTATAGGTATCTGCAGCAGCGCCCTAGCTCCCTGCTAGAGATCTGCACGGATACAAAAATTCGGATCCACATCTGGTCCACAAAGATGGTAAACAGCACAACCACATCCGAGGATGTAGACATCTGCAGATATAAAGCGGATTATCCGTGGATTTGCAGGGCTCACAGATCATCACACACTAGCTTCTCTAAAACTTCCCTCTCCAACAGTGGCCAGGGACAGGTGAAATTGACACACGTGTACAAAGGAAACAGCAAAATGAGTCCAAGAAATCATGAGGATAGAGAGCAGCTACCTTTCAGTTTTACCCATTTTGAGGGTGATTGGCATCTGTACGAGCTCCCCCTGTAAACAACAGGTCCAGGGCCCGCTCTAGCATTTTTGCTGCCCCAAGCAGACAAAAAAAAAAAAAAAAAAAAGACCGTGATCACGATCGGGGGCAGCTCTACCGCCACTTCATTCTATGGCGACAATTCAGCGGCAGGTCCTTCGCTTCCAGAGGGAGTGACGGCCCCGCCGCCGAATTGCCACCGAAGGGCCAGGTGTGCCGCCCCCTCTTCATTGGCCGCCCCAGGCACCTGCTTGCTAGGCTGGTGCCTGGAGCCAGCCCTGACCGGGTCACATAAGTAACTTTGCTCACTTGGGTCCCGATCTGATTGGTTGTGCAGAGCTGTACCCCCAGCAGGCACCAGTGTCCCTAAACACCGATCTGGCTGCACTCTGTGGGTAGTTCCACACCACAGGGGCTTCCTGAATCCAACCCACCGCTGGGGCAGCATTTTTCAGACCAAGATGGTTTTCCGGGTCATCTGTGTGTCTCCCCCTCTTGTTCTAACCCACCCCACGCCCAGAGCCAGGGACAGAACCCAGGAGTCCTGATTCCCAGTGCCCCCTGCAGCTCTAATCATTGCACTAGATGCCAATCTCATCCAAAATCAGGGCCGCCTGGGGGAGGCAAGTGGGGCAAGCAGGGGCCCCCACGAGAGTTTTTCGGGGTCCTTCACTCGCTTCGGGAGCCCCAGAAAACTCTTGCGGGGCCCGGGCCCCCAGAGCTTCTTCCGCTCCGGGTCTTCAGCGGCAATTCGGCGGCGGGGGGTCCTTCCACCCCGGGACCCGCCCGCCACCGAAGACCCCAGGCCCCCTGAATCCTCTGGGCGGCCCTGTCCAAAAGCAGGGGTTTTCTTCTAGTTCCAGTCCTCGCTGAGAAGCTGCTTTGCTGGCCAGCAGGGAAGCACCCCTGGAAGCAGGTGGAACTGCATGAGAAACCCTGCATTTAGAGATCGCCTTTCGCTGAGGCTTAGAGGCCGGGAAAAGCCTGGGTGCAGGATGCACTGTCAAAGGCTGCTCTTGGAAAGATGGAAGGTCATAGACAGCAGCACCCGCACCCCCTCGGAGCTCTGAGACTCATTTCCCTCCTAGCCCTCCCAGAGCTGTTTGCTTCTCCTCTCTGAACACAGACCAGCCATTCGGGGGAGCAAGACCCTCTCAAGGCACTGCTACAAAGGAAGTTCACAGCGTACGTGCTTGAAGACCCCCCTTTCTGTGCAGCAGCCCCTGCAGATGACCCCCCTCAGCCATCTCCCCCTCTCTGAGCACGAGCAGCCAGGAGTGCTCTGAACTCCCCATATTCCAAGCAAGGCAACACCAGCCCCTAGACAGCTGCGTGGTGATTGGCTGTCATTAGCATACTGTCCCCTGATTGGACTCGGGGTAGGGTTGGTGTATGAGTATCAGAGAACAGACAGAGTGTAGCAAACTAACAGTGATCAGCGTGCGGGGAAATCACAGGGCTGGGAGGGGCCCCAGCTGGTCTCTTATGTATTTAGACAGCTGCTGTGTATTCCCTCCCAAACAGATCGTGTAAAGTGGCCGTAGCACTATTGGAGGCAGTAGGCCAGATCCCTGGGGTGAAACCACTTCTCTAACCATTAGACCACACTCCCTGCTGCTCTGCTCAAAGCCAAGAATGGACCCGCCAGCCAGTAAGTAATTGCTCAACCGCATGCTGCTGTCTAGGAACTAGTTTGTGTAACGCGCTGCCAATGGGCGTGTGTCATTCAAGGCAGGACTCCATAATAACTAGACCGTTTGTGGTCATCTAGTCTGCCTGCCTGAATGACGCAGGTCAGAGAACCGCCCCCAAATAATTCCTAGAGCAGATCTGCCCTGGTCACATTTCAAGGCCACTGGGCATGAGAGAGGGGCCTGGAATTCCCCTCTCCCCAGCTGTAATAAAATAAAAACCAAGCCGCCCTGTGGTGCCCAGCTCCACCCACTTGAAGGAGGAGCACAGCCCTGGTTTTGCTTGATCTCATCTGCTTCTTGAGGAGGGGAGCATGGGCTGCTGCATCTGTTTTCTCTCCTTACAGTGGAGGTGCTTTCGGGTTATTGCTGTGTGTCTATCTGTACTTCCCTGGGACCCCAATAATCCCCCCCTCTAGTCTAGTCTGTAAATTCTTATACCACAGTATGAGATTCCCTTCTGGTGTTGTCTAGACGGTGATCTGCTAGGCCACTCCAAGCCTTACCCTGCTCTGCTGTGAGAACCCCACTCCTGGGCTGTTCACACACAGCCTCTGGCATGTCAGCTGTTCCCAGCTACTTGCAAGCAAATGACACTAGCCAATATCTCCCGTCCCAGAAACAACTCTAGGAACCTCCTAGAACTGCCTCTCTGTTCTTGGAGAGTTTTTGCATGGGCTTGCTTTAAGCCATGAGGCTACGTGTTCAGCCTCATAACTATATACATGAAATTATAACCTATAACCTTACTATAACATTACTGGTTTCAGAGTAGCAGCCGTGTTAGTCTGTATCTGCAAAAAGAAGAACAGGAGTACTTGTGGCACCTTAGAGACTAATAAATTTATTTGAGCATAAGCTTTCGTGGGCTAAAACCCACTTCATCAGATGCATGCAGTGGGAAATACAGTAGGAAGATACATATACACAGAGGACATGAAAAATGGGTGTTGCCATAGCAACTGTAACAAGGGTAATTAATTACAGTGGGCTATTTTCAGCAGGAGAAAAAAAACCTTTTGTAGTGATAATCAGGATGGCCCACTTCCAACAGTTGACAGAAGGTGTGAGTAACAGTAGGGGGGGAAATAGCATGGGGAAACAGTTTTTACTTTGTATAATGAGCTATCCACTCCCAGTCTTTATTCAAGCCTAATTTAACGGTGTCCAGTTTGCAAATTAATTCCAATTCTGCAGTTTCTCGTTGGAGTCTGTTTTTGAAGTTTTTTTGTTGGAGTATTGCGACTTTGAGGTCTGTAATTGAGTGTCCAGGGAGGTTGAAGTGTTCTCCGACTGTTTTTTAATGTTATAATTCTTGACGTCTGATTTGTGTCCATTTATTCTTTTGCATAGAGACTGTCCGGTTTGGCCAATGTACATGGCAGAGGGGCATTGCTGGCACATGATGGCATATATCACATTGGTAGATGTGCAGGTGAACGAGCCCCTGATGGCGTGGCTGATGTGATTAGGTCCTATGATGGTGTCACTTGAATAGATATGTGGACAGAGTTGGCAACGGGCTTTGTTGCAAGGATAGGTTCCTGGGTCAGTGTTTTTGTTGTGTGGTGTGTAGATGCTGGTGAGTATTTGCTTCAGGTTGGGGGGCTGTCTGTAAGCGAGGCCTGGCCTGTCTCCCAAGGTCTGTGAGAGAGAGGGATCGTCCTTTAGGATAGGTTGTAGATCCTTGATGATGCGCTGGAGAGGTTTTAGTTGGGGGTGAGGGTTCTCCCAGTGTCACAGCAAAATGCAGGGCTCTGAGATCTCTGTGACACCAGGAGCACCTTACCCAGCCCCGAAGGAGAGCTCCATGTGCCTCGAAAGCTTGTAAAACACGAAGAAGTAACACAGAAATCATTGTGCTTGTGCCTGCATCCCAGTGCCTCAACCAGACAGCTTCAGGGACTAGCCCAGTTCTCCATCTATAAAACAAGGATAAATAGTCCTGCCTTACTGCCCAGAGGGGTATTGTGAGGCAGAGCAGTGTGGGCGAGGCACGAGATTAGGACTCCAAAGAGCTGAGTTCTATTCCAAACTCTGCTGCTGGGTGAGCGTTGGTAAATTGCTTTCCCCGTTCCTCAGTTTCCCCATCTGTGAAATGGCACTAATGATTCTGCCCTCCTTTGTAATGTGCTAGGAGATCTATTTTCTGAAAAGCGCCAGGTACAAGCTAGGTATTATTATTATTATTGAAGATTGCGAGGTGTTCAGATACTCCGATAAGGGGAACCCTATAGATAGAACCCTACTGATCCGAGGGAGAAACCAGAAAAACCTGATTTCTACTGATGTAAGTCGGAGGAAACTGAGGCCCACAGAAGGCCCTTTTCGGTGCGACAGGCTGCTGCCTATACATATCACAGGCAGACACTTATCATGCCGCACTCTCTCACTTGGAGTACAGCTCGACCTACATCAGCGATGAACTGTGTCCCCTCCAGTGAGTTTTCTATGGGCCCCTGTTGGCATGGTGGGTCATTCCCCATCACAGAGCCCCCTGCTGGAGTAGTGTTCCCCACCTTCTGCACCAGACCCAGCCCGCTCAAAAACAGGGTGCAGTGGGCAGGGAGGCCCTGATCAGAGCGAAGACCAGGGGCAGTGGGAACCCTGCCCGCCCCCACCCCTCCTACAATTGGTCTTCCACATGCATCACGCCATCAAGGGGGAGGAGGGGTGTTTTTTTAAACCCCTGCAGAGGGCTCTGTATAAGGACAGGGGGACCAGCTGCTACCATCCCAGAAGAGCCCTGTGCTGAATTGTTTTGAGGGGCTTCCCCAGAACATCGTACTCCTAACAGTGGTGCTCAGGTGCCTGCTGTTATGAGCTACCCCTCACTGTGTCTGCTGGGGGCCTTTTTGAAAGCTGATCTTTGCAATCGTGAGGGGGAAGCTGTGGGGGGAGGGGGATGTACAGAGAACATGTCCTGTAGGGGAAGGAGGAATGGACTGCACCCAGAGCACCTGCCATGATAGTGAGAAGGGGAGAGAGTGGTATGGAGGAGGGGGACATGGGGGACACACAGAGCCCCTGGCATGGACAGGCACACAGATGGGGGTAGGAATGGGGGTGAACAGAGACCCTGGCAATGGGAGGGGGGGTGACATAGAGCTGCTATCGTTGGAGTGGGGAGGGGTCATAGAGTCCCTGCAATACAGCAAAAACAAGGAGTCCTTGTGGCACCTTAGAGCATGATGAAGTGGGGTTTAGCCCACGAAAGCTTATGACCAAATAAATGTGTTAGTCTTTAAGAGGACTCAAGGACTCCTCGTTGCTTTTGCTGACACGGACTAACACGGCTACCCCTCTGAAACCTGCAATTCAGGGGGATTGTGAGGGTGGCAGACAACGCCCCTGGGCTGGGGGGAGAATGGGAGACCCTGATCTAGGGGACATGAAGGATCTGGGGGGCACACAGAGCCCCTGGCATGAGGGAGGGAGGGGGCAGTTGCAGGGGGTGGGGGTCTGTGCAAGAGGGATGCTGGGGGCAGGGGAATGGAGGATGCACAGAGATTTGTTGTGTGGACCTCAGTCGGGCTGGAGGGAGCTGACTGGGGCTTAGCAAAGGAGAGGGGGCGGGAGAGGGGGAGGCGGGGCTGGGGGGAGGGAGATGGGGAGGGGAGTTGTTTGCATCGTAGGAAAAAGGAGTAGGAGTTGCTTTTCTTCGGCTCCTGGCTCAGCGGACCTGCAGATGGTGTATTTGCCTCGCTTCTCCTGCAAAGGCTCCTTTCCCACCAGAGCTGGTGAGTTTGTTGCAGTAGGTTCTTGGAGGGGGGAGACACCCCGTTTTGCTGCACTGAGATTAGGGGGGCTGCTTTCCCTCTGCTGCCTTGGGGGGAGGGGGTTGCATCTCTCCCGCTGAGCTCAGGCGATGAGCCTGCCTGATGGGGGGGGGGGTGCTCAGCGACCCACACTGCAGGGGCTGCTGCAGTTGCATTGAACTGTGGAGCAGTGTGGGGGTGTCTGCAGCCGTGACTGGTGTGTTTTGCAGGGAATTGGATGTGGTACAGGAAACTGCTCCAGGTAGTATTTTCCACTGCATGCATCTGAGGAAGTGGGGTTTAGCCCACGAAAGCTTCTGCCCAAATAAATGTGTTCGTCTCTAAGAGATGCCTCAAGGGCTCCTCCTTGTTTTTGCTGATACAGACTAACATGGCTCCCCCTCTGAAACCTGCTCTAGGTGGGAATATGCGACTTAGGATGTACTGAGCATGCTCAGTAACATCTTCTGAAGCCACTGCCCTTCACCCTGCCCTAATTAGCAGTAAGGTTCTGTGGACTGCTTTTTACAGGGGTTAAAAAGGGGCAAATCGAAGAGGGGGTGGTGGCCAGGGTCTGAGCAGGGGGTGGAAATTGACTGATGGGGGGGGGGGAGGTCAAACCGCTGGAGGCAGGGTTAGGAGAGGGGCTAAAGGGAAAATCAGGGATGGGGGGGAGGAGGTGGAGTTAAGCCCAGGGGTGAGGCGCTGGCAGAGGGTGCCAGAGGACAGAACCTGGCAGGGGCAGAGGGGGTAGCAGTTACCCCAGTGGACTGAAACACCCGTGTTTGCAAAAAATAGGGTGGGGGAGCAGAGGGGCTTTTTTATTTCCCCTCCTACAGACTGGGCTTTCCAGGGCTGGGCTCTTAAAGGCACAGGCATCCGAATGCGTAGTCACTGCAGCTCCTCTTCGATGTAACCTACTGAGGTGCTGCAGCAGGAGACTTAATTCAGTGAATCTGGGTCTTCCCTACACCCCCCTCTCCCCCCCCCCCCGTGATGAACTAGTTACAACAGTGTTCAAAGAAGATTAGGGTAGGAAGAGACCTCAGGAGGTTCTAGTCCAACCCCCTGCTTGGAGCAGGACCAACACCCATTAAACCATCCCAGCCAGGGCTTTGTCAAGCCGGGCCTTAAAAACCTCTAAGGAAGATTCCACCACCTCCCTAGGGAACCCATTCCAGTGCTTCACCACCCTCCTAGTG